TAACTGTTACTATAAATATGGAAAGAAATGGACTCAGCAGACCATAAATTCATGTTTATTCATCACAAGCTTATTTGACTAGCAATTAAAGACTCAAGTAAGTAAATAGGGTGTTCTTTTTTCCATGAACAAGAATTTCTCACGACTCGAAACAAGGAGTCTCCTAAAGCCCGTGGTCGATCCAAGTACTTTGATGTACTTGGATGGCCCTCCCACTCCTGTCATTTCTTCAATTAGGACATCGCTGCCAAATCTCTGCATCCGCTACTCGTAACGACGATAACAGTCAGTACTTACTGATACAGCTCAACCACCCCGCCAGCCTGCCACTCWGGAAGTCCAGCCWGCATCATAGACTTTTTGGAGTCTTCRTATGTCTGYCGCTCAAAGTGCACGTCTTTTTTCAATTGTCTTGAGAAYTCCTGACAAACTTCCCCAAATGTATGCCGGTTACTTATGATACAGTAGGTCTTCCCAGCATGCTTTGCTGGATCAGCAAGAATTGCTGCAGCTGCTATACCTTTAACGAAAGAAAAATGGAAACAAGTTATTCAGTGACCATCATTCAGTACCAATGGTAGGAGTAGAGGTTTTTATTTAATAGCTTCTAATCACAATATAAGAGAAGACCTCGAAGTTATCTTGTCAGATAGTGTTGATAAAAAGAGAACTATACTGATAGACTATTAACAGTATATCAAAGATCGTGCGATTGTTTACCTGCATCTCTGATTGCTACTGGAGTATATGGTTTATCAGGAGCAACAGGCATACTAATTGTTGATTGGTTAACGATGCTGTTCACGTGAAGGAARTAATTCTCCATGAATATCGGCAGACGTAGTAACGTCCAGGACACCTTAAGASTCTTGATTGATGCTTCAATCTCATGGAACTGACGTCCAAACAAACTGGACTTTGAGCCAGCTACACTTACACTCACAACTACAATCTTTTTTACGCCTGCTACTTCCGCGAACTTGGCTGTTTGAATGGTGAGCTCAGCACGGTTTTCAGCCCCGGGAGTCACGATAAAAAGTCGATCCACGCCACGAAAGCACTTCGAAAGGCTTTTGTCGTCTCCCATTGTTGCTTGTACGACATTGATGGCTCCTGAACAGCAATTGAAAAATGAAAGAGGAAATCAGTGACAAATCTACAATCAAAAGGGAAGGGACAGGACTACTAACGCTGACAAGACATCTAGTCGATCCGGAACATCACTTTTCCCTAAAAAAAACTAAGAACCCAGCACATCACTCATCCCTCAAAACAACAACAACAACAACAACAACAACAATCCAGGATATCTTCCCTCCAGAGAACAACCCAGCACATCACTCATCCCTCAAAACAACAACAACACAACAACAACAACAATCCAGGACATCTTCCCTCCAGAGAACAACGCAGCACATCACTCATCCCTCCAGAGAACAACCCAGTACATCACTCTTCCCTCAAAACAACAACAACAACAACAACCCAGCACATCACTCATCCCTCAAAACAACAACAACAACAACAACCCAGCACATCACTAATTCCTCGCGAGAAAAGCGGAATGGAAAAATCTCACCTTTTAAATCTTGGAACTTTTCATCGTTCTGTGGGTTACGGACACCAGCTCTGATATCAAATCTATTACCATACGAAGATACCAAAGCATTCAGGGTTGCTATGCCAACATTGCCTGACGCACCAATTACCATGACTACAGGTTTAGATGCCATGACTTGAAACTGTGGCAACACGAGAGGAGGTGAATATACAAAATAGCCTGGGGTGGGGTAGAGTTTCGATTGTTAATCTCTTAGCATGAATCAATATTATTCCTCAGTAAGAGGGACGTAAGAAAAAACCACAACGAAAAAAAACATCGACTTCAACTTCTTTCTTGAAAAACTGAAACCGCATTTACTTCAGAACACCACATCGGGAAGCCACTGAGAATACAAATGCACTAATGCTCATAAATAAGCAGTTGATGCGTAAAATCACCTCGAAAACATCTAGATATACCACGTGACTAGTRCCATTGACCATCACGTGGGCATGCCGGTARAGTAAAGAAAACAGTCTAAAGATATCATTCAAAACCGCACCTCAAGGAATAAAACTGTGACTACACTCATCGGAAATGAGATATTGCGCATGCTCTAATAGTATACATGGACGTAAAATTGCARCAATATTTGCTGGACACTKAACAGWGTATTACTTCGTACAACGTTGCACGCAACAAAGAAAGKTGCGGTGTTGCACATGTTGCTGAAAAAATGACACAATGTAACCTTAGGATCCGTTTCTTTTCTTGATTGCTTCAAACTGCCATCGCGTTTGTGACTAGTAACCRGTCCCTAAAGGGTGATTTGTGAGCGATGTGTCAGAGGACTTTGTGACATTTCAATAATTCATAAGTACATGCAGTTGTTTACCATTTTCAACTATTGAAGCGGAATCACGAAACACTAACTTGATAGTATTCATGTCATTAGGTGTTTTTATTTGTGTGCAATGAAAATTATTATGTACTCTACTATGGAAAAACTAATAAAAAAAGAGCATAATATAATTGTTTTCCATATTATTGTAACTTTGCGAAACGATCGAGTTTATTGACTAAATTTTCTATGCTCCATTTGAAACGATGAATTCACAAGCAGTAGGTAAATAGTGTTTGTAAAGCGATGCAAAGTAATATCAATAAATTAAGCCTAAAATATTACTACTTATTTATCATAAAAAACTATAATTTTCAGCTATTGTAGAGTCATTTTCATCCGTCTGTGAAACAATTACTACTAGTCAGTGTTTAATAGTGTCTAATAGTTGTATTCCAATAAAAGAAAGCAACGGGTGTAGAGTCTACTAGCGTCTATTAGCGTAGGAACTATTTCACAGTCCGATGAAAATCACTCTAATGAAGTGTTTTGTTATTTACCAAATGTTTTTTCATACCTAAGAGCAGAAGGTYGTTTTCACTTGCAATATATCCCTGGAATATGCTGAGTCACGTCACACAACATCATTTCTTCTTACAAGCCACGCGTTTTGATTGGACGAACGTGCTTTATTATTACACAAGCAACCGATGACAAACATTAGTAGTTTGCCTGCCTCTAGACCACAAATTTACAGGCTTTTTTGGTGTCTTTTGATCCTCAAAACCTCCAAGACCACAACCAACAGAGATCATTGTCCATCAGTACACAACTAATCCATGAGTTTCCAGTGCTGTGTAAGGCTAATTTGAGTGCAAAGTATTCCAAGGAATGAGAGCAAAAAAGCTTCAGATCAATTCTATTCTTTCTTTTCAAAAATTTCCTGGGGCTGTTAATGAAACCATAGAATATGTCGAATATTGTAGTTGGTTTTGAGGTTAAACACAGAGCAAACCAGAAAGCGAGTATAAAAAGATAAATATGCAATAAATTATGAATA